AAAAACTCCCAGCCCCCCCCCCCCCCCCGGCGCCTCGTCCCCCCCTTCAACGCAAATAACTCTTAAACACCCTCAAAAATAGAAATAATCCTTAAACACCCCCAAAACCAGACCCTGACCCACGCCAGGGCCCATCCTGAACGGTTTCCTCTTTGGTATCGAGGAGAGAAGGGTCCCGGGACCCTCCCCCGCCCTGGTGGGGAGGGCAAGAGGCCCACCCACCCCCCGGGGGCTGGTGAGGAGGAGGAGGAGGAGGAGGAAGCGGGGGCCGAGGGTTGTGCAAGACTGCGGCGTGGGATTGAATCACGGCAGCCTGCAAAGCCCTGTGCATCCCGCAGAAAGCAGGAAGGAGCCGGGAACGCTTCCTCATTCCCACCCGGCACCTCCCCCGGCCCGTCCTGCTGCACCCCAGGGTGAGGGGAACCGTGACATCCCTGAAACCCCCCCACGCTCTCTCCAAGAAACAACTGCTTCTGTAAACCCGAGGGGGTTTTCTTTCTTTTTTGTTTGTTGTTGGGTTTTTTTGTGTGTGGTGTTTTTTTTTCTTGGTGTTTTTTTTTTTCCCTTTTTTTTTTTTAATATAAAAAGAAAGAAGACACGTGGGTGAGGGGCAGGGGAAGGGGCAGGGTGCTGTCCCAGCCCCCCCGGCCTGCCCGTGGTGGTGGCTCTGCCATGATACATTCACGTGTGATGGGATATTTGCACTCTGAGGAGGTGCATGCTGACAGCCCGAGGGGCTGTGGGGACAGTGTCCGTGCCCGTGTCTGTCCATCTGTCCATCCCAGGGACAGGAATTTTGGTTTTGGTAACACTGTGACAGTCCAGACTCCTCCAAACCTCAGCACCTCGGCCTGTATAGCCCCTGCTCCCCCCATGGGACCCCTGCCCAGGAGGGGCTTGCCCACTCCCTCCACCCCGGGGCCACAGCGAGGCAGGGGGGCCCCCTGGCTGCAAAGGGAGGGGATGTGACCCCCCCAGCCTCACACCTTGTACGCGGCGCTTGTGCTTCTTGCCGGGATGGGTTCGCGAGCCCTT